TTGCATTTTTAGTAGATACGGGGTTTTGCCATGTTGACCAGGCTGATCTCATTCCTGGCCTCAAGTGGTCTACCTGCCTTGGCCTTCCAAAGTGCTGGGATTACAGGCATGAGTGACCATGCCTGGCATACATGATTTCAAAAAATAAAAATAGTAATGCCCTAACTATAATAAAAGAGAAGAAAATTATTTATACCAAAATATGCAATTCATAATAAAGCAATATGTATCTCAATATGTTTAGATATGATTACGATAGAAGATGTGACTTAAGTAGCAGGTACTTGAACCCATATGTTGAATCACTGTGCATATACAAACGCAGAATGATTCAAGTGTATCGTGTTGGTGACTAAGAAACACCATAAGCTAGAATAACTAAAATTTCTGAACAAAACAAAATATATTATTCTCTAGAGTTAGATACAGTTGCCTTTCTGGAAATTGAAGTGCATATTAAAACTGTCAAAAGTACTTTGCTTTATATATAATATGGAATTAGGTTCTAGGTCATAGGATGTTTTTAATTAACTTGAATGTCTGGTGGGACACATGAAGGTTGCATAGGACACACAGTCAGTTTTTTGTTAGAATGTATTGAGCATTGTAGGATATTGAGAATCCCTGGTTTAGGGGCCTGCACAATGCCAGTGGTGCTCTCTAGTCATTGTGGCAACAAAAAGTTACCTCAAGATTTCCAGATGTCTCCCTAGGGGGGAATTGAGTACCATTAGGTTATATAATATAATCGAGACAATGGAATGTTATTATCCATTAGAAAGAACAAGGAGGTCAGTGTGTATTGTCATGAAAAGATGTCTACAATATACTGTCAAGTGCAAAAGCATGCTACAAAACATCATGTATAATAATCTTCATTTTTCATTTATCTTTTTTTTTTTTTTGAGATGGAGTTTCACTCTTGTCACCCAGGCTAAAGTGCAGTGGCGTGATCTCTGCTCACTGCAACCTCCGCCTCCTGGCTACTTTTTATTATTTTTGGTAGAGACAGGGTCTCGCCGTATTGCCCAGGATGGTCTTGAACTCCTAAGCTCAAGCTATCCTCCTGCCTCTGCCTCCCAAAGTGTTGGGAGTACAGGGGTGACCCACCAAGCCCAGTCTCCACTTAATGTTGAATATATGTACTATATTATGTAGAAGAAAGAATGGAAAAATGTTTTTTAAAATGTTGTGGATGACATGCTTTATAGTTTTATTGTCTGGAATGCTAAGAACTATAAATTGGATTGCTTTTACAAAGTAATTGCTTTCCTTTTTTTTTTTTTTGAGATAGGGTCTTGCTTTGTTACCCAGGCTGGCTGGAGTAGTGCAGTGGTGTGTTCTTGGCTCACTGCAGCCTCGACCTCCTCAGCTCAAGTGATCCTCCTACCTTAGGCCTCTGTGTAACCACCAAGCGTGCACTACTGCACCTGGCTAAGTTTCTGTGTGTGTTTTGTAGAGAGAGTTTCGCTCTGTTGCCCACGCTGGTAAACTTCTGAGCTCAAGTGTTCTGTCCACCTTGTTCTCCCAGAGTGCTGGAATTACATGCATGAGCCACCATGCCCCGCCCAGTAATTACATCTTGACATAAGGATTTAAAAATTACTTTGTGCCTGTAATCCTACACTTTGGGAGGCTAAGGCGGGTGGATTGCTTGAATCCAGGAGTTCGAGACCAGCCTGGGCAACATGGCAAATCCCCTCTCTACTAAAAATAACAAAATTTAGCTGGGCATAGTGCATGTGCATGTGCATGTGCATGTGCATGTAATCCCAGCTACTTGGGAGGCTCAGTCATGAGAATCACCTGAACCTGGGAGGCTGAGATTTCAGTGAGCTGAGATCAAGTCATTGCACTACAACCTGGGTAACCAGAATGAAACACTTATCTCAAAAAGAAATTGACCACCTTGGTCAGTGGCTAATGCCTTTTTTCTTAATAGGATAGCTGGAGGAAAGAGAGAAGCAAGCTTCTATCATTAACAGGAAGTGAGAAAGAGGATAACTTGGTAGAAGTTGGCATCTGTCACTTAATATACAAAGGTTTTGGTTGAGCGCAATGGCTCACTCCTGTAATCACAGTACTTTGGGAGACTGAGGCAGGAGGATTACTTGAAGCTGGGAGTTTGAGACTAGCCTGAGCAATATAGCAAGATTTGTTTGTCTGTATTAAAATTTAAAAATGGGGAGAAGTGGAGTAGCTGCTGTTTCATATACTGAATTTGAAGCTGCTGCCAGGAGCACATTTCTTTCTTTTGTCATTTTCTTTTTTTTTTGAAATGGGGTTTCACTCTTGTCACCCAGGCTGGACTGCAGTGGTGCGATCTCCGCTCACTGCAACCTCTGCCTCCTAGGTTCAAACTTTTCCCCTGCCTCAGTCTCCTGAGTAGCTGGGAATACAGGTACCTACCACCACACCTGGCTAATTTTTGTATTTTTAGTAGAGATGGTGTTTCGCCATGTTGCTCAGGCTAGTCTTGAACTCCTCAGCTCAAGTGAGCCACCCGCTTCAGTCTCCAAAGTGCTGGGATTACAGGTTTGAGCCACCGTGCTCACCCTCTATATCTTCTTAAAAACAATAAAGAGAACAGTGATCATCGCTTAGAAGAGGGAAAGGTGCCTTGAACAATGTTTCTTGGACTTCAGGGAGGCAAATACTCTAACAGAATGTGAAAAATCCTGTCCCAGGCTAAACAAAGCAGATTCCTTCATCTGTCTTCAAAGTGTTTCTTCTCTTAAATTCTTGTGATTGATCATAGAGAACAATTTGGTAGGTTGCTGTGACTCTAGAGGCCCAGTTTGGGGCAACCAGGGACACACATATCTGCATTTTTATGATTTTTGAGAGTTTGAATTGTACTCCTTGCCTTAATATTTTGGAGACATACCACTGTCATTGGAAGTAGAAGATCTGCTGTGTTATGTACTTACCATGGGAGAAAGAAAGGACACTTTCCGGGTTTAAATCCCAACTCAGAGCCAGGCATGGTGGCCTAAGCGTATAATCCACCACTTTGGGGAGCTGAGGCAGGAGGACTTCTTAAGACCAGTGTGGGCAACACAGTGAGTCCTTGTCTCTACAAAAATTAAAAATTTAGCCAGGTGCAGTGGTGCACGTCTGTAGTCCAGCTACTTGGGAGGCTGAGGTGGAGGATCACCTGAACCTGGGGAGATTGAAGCCACGGTGAGCCATGATGATGCTACTACACTCCAGCTTGGGCAACTGTGCAAGACCCTGTCTCAAGAAAAAAAAAAATCCAACTGAAATATAAAGTAGTATATTCCAAGACGTGGATTTAAAGAAGTTTTCTGACGGAGTGTGGTGGCTCATACTTGTAATCCCAACACTTTGGGAAGCAGAGGCAGCTCGAATTCCTGGGATCGCTTGAGCCCGGGAATTTGAGACCAGCCTAGACAACATGGTGAAACCCTGTCTCTACAGGAAATAAATTTAAAAAAAAATTACCCAGGTGTGGTGGCTTGTGCCTGTAGTCCCTGCTACTTAGAAGGCCGAGGAAGGGGTGCTCACTTGAGCCTGGGAGAGTGAGGCTGCATTGAAGCATGATTGTGCCACCACACTTTAGCGTAGGTGACAGTGAGACTCTATCTGAAAAAAAAAAGGAGTTTTATCTAATGCTGCAACTTTTTATTACAAAAAATTTAAAACTTAAAAGAACAACAGCGATGATGATGATTTATTTATTTTTTGGCGATCGAATCTTGCTCTGTTGCCCAGGCTGGAGTGCAGTGGTGTGATCTCTGTTCATTGCAACATCCACCTCCTAGGTTCAAGCAGTTCTCCTGCCTCACCCTCCCAAGTAGCTGGGACTACAGGTGCATGCTGTCATGCCTGGCTAATTTTTTTTGCATTTTTAGTAGATAGGGGGTTTCATCCTATTGCCCAGGCTGGTCTCGAACTCCTGAGTTCAGGCAATCCCCCCACCTCGGCCTCCCAAAGTGCTAGGATTACAGGCGTGAGCCACTGCCCCTGGCCAATTATTTATTATTATTTTTTGAGGCAGGGTCTAGCTCTGTTACCCAGACTGGAGTGCAGTGGTGTGATCTTGGTTTATTGCAACCTCCGCCTCCTAGGTTCAAGTGATTCTTGTGCATCAACTTCCCGAGTAGCTGGACTTATAGGTGTGCACCACCATCCTTAGCCAATTTTTGTATTTTTAGTAGAGACAGGGTTTTGCCATGTTGGCAAGGCTGGTCTCAAACTCCTGGCCTCAAGTGATCCACCTGCCTCGGCCTCCCAAAGTGCTGGGATTACAGGGTGAGCTACCGTGGCCAGTCTACAGTGATTATTTATATGCCTGCTACCTAGATTCAGCAATTGTTAACATTTTCTCAGATGTTCTTTATATGTATATGTAGGTATGTGTCCATTTTATGATTGTGGAAAAATAAGTTTGGAATATTATGAAACTTCCAGTTAAAAATATGTTCATGACTGGGCATGGTAGCTCATACCTGTAATCACAGAGCTTTGAGAGGCCAAGGCAGGAACATTCTTTGAACCCAGGGGTTCAAGACCAGCCTGGGCAACATGGTCAGAGCTCGTCTCTACAAAAAATTAAAAGATTAACCAGGTGTGTTGGCATGTGCCTGTGGTCCTAACTACTTGGGGAACTGAGGCAGGAGGATCTCTGGAGCCCAGGAGTTCCAGGTTACAGTAGGCTATTGTCAAGCCACGGCACTCCAGCCTGGGTAACAGAGCAAGACCCTGTCTCTAAAAATAAATGAACAAACATACATTTGTAAATTTCTCTGCAGGGCCCATATCTACTTAAATGTTGTGTGAAAAGGAACAACACTGCACTGAAGTTAAAAAGAGCATAATTTTTGCTTTTTTAAAATTTAAAATGAGCTCATCTTGTCTCCATGAAGTTTTCAACTCAGCTTACTACTTGTATGGTCATTTGGGGATTTTCACCTTTTTGCACTTAGGCTTAACCATAAGGTGTTTTGAAATGTGTATTTGTTTTCTCTTTGTTTTAGATGATCCCTCTGATAAGCCACCTTGCCGAGGCTGCTCCTCCTACCTCATGGAGCCTTATATCAAGTGTGCTGAATGTGGGCCACCTCCTTTTTTCCTCTGCTTGCAGGTAACTCACTAATGCTAGCCTCCCCTAGCCTGGTTTTATGCTATTTTTTATGATGTAATATTTCAGAGATTACTGTCAACTGCTAAGGAGATCTATACCTTATTAAATCTATTCCTTCCAATCTTTCATTGTACATTTTACCAGTGAAAAGTTGAGAAACAGAGCAGTTAGATGAGTTAGACTGTTGATGATTCCACATCTGTGTTTAAACCTAATACTTGGTTGGGTGCAGCGGCTCATGCCTGTAGTCCCAGCACTTCGGGAGACCGAGGCAGGCAGATCACCTGAGGTCAACAGTTCAAGACCTGCCTGGCCAACATGGTGAAACCCCATCTCTACAAAAATACAAAAAATTTCAGCAGGGCGTGATGGCAGGTGCCTCTAATCCTAGCTACTCAGGAGGCTGAAGCAGGAGAATCATTTGAACCTAGGAGGTTGCAGTGAGCTGAGATCGCACCATTGTACCCCAGTCTGGGCAACAGAGCCAAGACACTATATCATAAAAAAAAAAAAGAAGAAGAAAAGGCTGGGTGCAGTGGCTCACACCGGTAATTCCAGCACTTTGGGGGGCCGAGGTGGGCAGTTCACCTGAGGTCAGGAGGTCAAGACCAGCCTGACCAACATGGAGAAACCCTGTCTCTACTAAAAAATACAAAAATTAGCCAGGCATGGTGGCGCACACCTGTAATCGAGCTACTTGGGAGGCTGAGGCAGGAGAATCACTTGAACTTGGGAGGCGGAGGTTGCGGTGGGTCCTCAGATCACACCTTTACACTCCAACCTGGGCAACAAGATTGAAACTTTGTCTCAAAAAAAAAACAAACAAAAAACCTGATACTTAACCTGTTTTCTTTTTTTGTTTTGTTTTTTTCTGAAACGGAGTCTTGCTCTGTCACCCAGGCTGGAGTGCAGTGGTGCAATCTCACTGCAACTTCTACCTCCTGGGTTCAAGTGAGTCTCCTGCTAGCCTCTGGAGTAGCTGTAATTACAGATATATGCCATCACACCCAGCTAATTTTTTATATTTTTGGTAGAGACGGGGTTTCACCATGTTGGCCAGGCTGGTCTTGAACTCCTGACCTCAAGTAATCCATTTGCCTCTGCCTCCGAAAGTACTGGGATTATAGGCCTGAGCCACCATGCCCGGCCATAACACTGTTTTATAAATAAATTTAAAGTATTGAAATTACAGGAAACAACTGGAAGATTATTCCTTTTGATGACACTGTTTATTGTCTTGTTGAACACTGATCTCTGTACAGATGACAAAGGAAGAAACAATTTTTGTAGATGATAATGGTAGTAATAATACTAATTATAAGTACTTACTCTGTACCAGGTACTACTTTGAGTACTTTATGTGAATTAACCTTTAAATCATTACTGTAATCCTATGAAGTACCTATCATTAGTATTCCCATTTTATAGATGAAGAAATTTAGGCTAAGAGAGGTTAAGTAACTTGTTCAAGGTCACATGGCAAATACCATATTTTATCAGCTCTAAGGCACTATTGATTATAAGAAGTTCCTCAATTTCAGAAATGTTAAAACGTAAAAATGGCTGCTGAAAGTTGTGATTACTTTTGATTATAAGATGAATCTTGATTTCAGAGAGTTTTTTTTTGACACAGGGTTTCACTGTGTCGCCTAAGCTAGAGTGCAGTGGCACGATCATGGCTCAGCACCACTGCTATCTTCTCCCAGGCTCAAGCAATCCTTCCACCTCAGCCTCCCAAGTATCTGGGACTACATGTTTGTGCCACCGTGCCCAGCTAATTTTTTTTTTTTTTTTTGGGGAGAGACAAGGTCTCACCATGTTTGCCCTGGCTGGTCTGGAACTCTTGAGCTCAAGCAGTCCTACCACCTCAGTTTCCTAGAGTGTAAGGATTATAGGCATGAGCCTACTTCAGAGAGTTTTGATTTTTTATTAAAAAAAATTGAATGGTTTTTAGAGATGGAGTGTTGCTTTGCTGCTCAGGCTGGAGTGTAGTGGTGTAATCATAGCTCACTGCAGCCTCAAACTCCTGGGCTCAACGGTCCTCCTGTCTTAACTTTCCCTGAGTAGCTAGGACTACGGGCACAAGCCATAATGCCCAGCCCAGAGTTTAAAATATGAAAAAATATTTATCTTAGAATGGCTGAAAGACAGTCACAGAGCCAGGATTCAAATTTAGGCTGTGTGATTCCAGGGCATACGCTCTTCTCAAAGAGATGTCTTAGGAAAAAAATCTGTTTTTCAGACTTGTTTTTTCTCTGTAAGGGCCACTGATAAGCTGTGATCATGATTCTACCATTTGATTGCAGCTGCAGACAAGATTAAATTGATCCTTAAAAACTTGTCAAGAAGCGGTGTGGTAGCCCACACCTGTAATCCCAGCACTTTGGAGACTGAGATACAAGGATCCCTTGAGCCCAGGAGTTCAAGGCTGCAGTAGCTATGATGGTGCCGCTACACTTTAGCTTGGGTGACAGAGTGAGACCCTATCTCCAAAAATAAAATTTAAAAAACCCAAACTTGTCGGAAGAATAACACAAAGTACCTTCTGTCTTTTAAGAAAGTAGCTTTTGCTAACTTAGTTTTTCTTTCTTTGCAGTGTTTCACTCGAGGGTTTGAGTACAAGAAACATCAAAGCGATCATACTTATGAAATAATGGTAATGATGAAGTTGCTGGGAATTTCTGTTCTTTTTTTTCAAGTATTAGACTGGGAAGTAGTTTTGCTTTTCTTCCTTTTTTTCTTTTAAGTGCTCTTGAACTTCAGGGAATTGGTTTTCATAATCTCTAACTATCTTTACCTTTTCTCTTTTTCTGAAATAAGTAATTATTATCCAATAAGTTTTTTAGGGTTTTGTGGATCTATCAAGGTATTTGAACACAAAAATAGTTTTACATACTCAGATTTTTGTTTCAAATTTTAAGTATTCAAAGGAAATACTTTTGATATGAGGATAATAGGTATGCTGCCTTTTAGGCTCATTGATAAACATAGGCAATGTGATGTTACTATGTGCTAATGGTATTTTTATGTGGTTCATGTGGACAGTGGTGCTTATGTTGAGCAATTCATTCCCTTGCCTTGGGGAAATTAGTTACCTCTGAGAGTTAAGTTATAAAGTGAATACAGCAAATGAGTTAATACATAAAATCACTGACGAGGCAGACAGGTTTATAAGCCAGAATAAGACTTGGCTATAGATTACTTGTACTGCAACTTTAAAGAAGGAATGAGTGTTTGTAGTGTCCTTCCAAGTGGGTGGTTTAATAGGCCAAAGTGAATAGTCTGCTTGACGGGTATATATGCCTTTGTCAAGATAGTTTTGTTAGCCAGGTGTGGTAGCTCACGCCTGTAATCCCAGCACTTCCGGAGGCCAAGTTGTGTGGATCACTTGAGGTCAGGAGTTTGAGACCAGCCTGGCCAATGTATGGTGACACCCTGTCACTACTAAAAATACAAAAATAGCCAGGTTTGGTGATGTGCGCCTGTAGTCCCAGCTACTTGGGTGTCTGAGGCAGGAGAATCACTTGAACCCGGAGGCAGAGATTGCAGTGAGCAAGATCGTGCCACTGCACTCCAGCCTGGGTGACAGAGTGAGACTTCATCTCAAAAAAAAAAAAAAAAAAAGAAAAGATCATTTTGTCAGTAATCAGAGCATATTAAGCATATAACTAAATCTCCTACTGCAGTTTTCTGACATTTGGCCTCCATGCAGTTTTTCTTATAGGAAAGGATGCTGGCAGCCTTGACAGTTAAAATTTCACATAGTAGATTAATCTATATTAGTTTTCTATTGATGCTGTAACAAATTACCCAAAATCAGATGTCTTAAGACAACACAAATTTGTCTCACAGTTCTGTGGGTCAGAAGATCATCTGGCTCAGCTGGTTTGCTGCACGTTCCATAAAGCTGATAGGAAGATGTTGGCCAGCCTAGGCTCTCACCTGGAGGCCTTGAGGGAAAATCCACTTTTAGGTTCTTTAAGGTTGTTGTCAGAATTCACTGCCTTAAGGTTTTAGGAATGAGACCACTGTTTTGGCGGCATGTTCTCTGCTTCCACAGGCTGTCTGCATTCCCTGGTTCCTGGCCCCCTTTCTCCATTCTCAAAGCTAGGAGCACAGGAAGTCCTTGAGATTGTTGATGAAATCACGGAATCTCTGTGACCTTTCCTATTGCCTTGTCTTTCCTGTTCTGAATCGTTATGAGTGATTCTTCTGCTTTCCTCTTCTACTTTGAGACAGGGTCTCACTCTATTATCCAGGCTAAAGAGCAGTGGCACTATCACAGCTCACTATAACCTTGACCTCCCAGGCTTAAGCTATCCTCCTCCCTCAGCCACCTGACTGGTTGGGACTATAGGCACAAGCCACATTGTCTGGCTAATTTTTAATTTTTTTTGTAGAGACAGGGCTCTTTGTGTTACCCAGACTGGTCTTGAACTCCTGGGCTCAAGCAATCGTCCCACCTCAACCCTCAACCTCCCAAAGTGCTGGGATTACAGGTGTGAGTCACCACAGCAGGCCCTTAACTATGTTTAAGGCCTCATGTGGATTACACTGGGCCCATCTGGGTAATCCAGGATAATCTCTCTACTTTAAGGTCAATCTTTATTCCATCTGTAAAGTCATTTCCCAGCAGTACCTGGTTAGTGTTGATGGAATAATCAGAAAACAGGAATCTTAGGATGAGGGGAACATCTTTATTTTTATTTATTTATTAAAAAACATAGAGACAGGGTTTCTTCATGTTGCCCAGGCTGGTCTCGAACACCTGGGCTCAAGTGATCTTCCCACCTTGGCCTCCCAAAGTGCTGGAATTATAGACATGAGCCACCATACCCAGCCAGGGAACATCTTTAGAATTGGGCCTCTTACAAAACTGTAGTATATTTATTTCCATCTCTTAAAAGTTTAGAAAGGGTGACTCAGCATCTCTGAGCCTGGTTATTGGTGGGGTCCTATTAAAATGTGTTTCTGGGCTTATGATATTCAGGGTCAGATTCTAGGCCACAATCGATCAAAGAACTAGTTAGTGAGAGTTTTTGGGAGCCAACTAGTTAGCCTTCTTCTGTCCATCTCTAAACAATTTCAGTCTTTTAACTAATGGCTTCAGTAATTGTAAGACTTGGAATAATTTTTTTCCCCCTTTAATTACAAAATGAACGGTTAGACTGTTTAAAGTGGATTTAATTTCACCAAGGTTATTAGATCTTCAGAAAGCTGGGTTATTTTTCTCAAATTAATACAAGAATACCTAGAGCCAGAATACAAATTTATTCATTCACATTGTGAAGTAATTCCTTAAGGGATAATTCAGTATAACTTGGGTAGGTTGGTAGTCATGCTTATTCACTGTAGGAAAGCTGACCATAAGCTTTCTTTAGCTATTCTGGGCATTGTATCTTCTGCATAATGCTGAAAGTACTAAGTTTCACTTAAAATCCACTTAGTTCTGATTACATCATCCTTTTCTCACATATTCAACACCCATACAATCACATTTCAGAGTACTGTCCTTTAATTTGGGGAGCTTTTGGGGGTTACTAATACTTCCTTTTTGTGGCCAACTTTATTTATTCCCAGTGACTCTTTCTTTCGATAGGAATGACGACCAGATTTTAGCTTTCTACACAAAACTAGCTTTTTTTTGCATATGAAGCCTCAGATAACTTTAAATGTTTTTCAGTACTTTTGTCATGTCACAGTGCTGTATTTTTGGGAGTTACTCATGCTGTGGTAGGTGGTGCGCGTTAACCAGGATTTTCTGAGTTCTATGCCTATTTTTGTCTTGTAATTCTTAGAACCTTGAACAAGTCAAGGCAATTGTTTCTGCCACACCCTTTTATACCAGTGATTCTTAAACTTTAGTACCTAAGAATTGCCTGAGAGCTTCTATTTTTTTTTTTTTTGAGACGGAGTTTTACTCTTGTTGCCCAGGCTGGAGTGCAATGGTGCAGTCTCAGCTCACTGCAACCTCCACCTCCCAAGTTCAAGCAATTTTCCTACCTCAGCCTCCCCAGTAGCTGGGATTACAGGCATACATCACCACACCCAGCTAATTTTTTTGTATTTTTAGTAGAGATGGTTTCACCACCTTGGGCAGGCTGGTCTTGAACTTCTGACCTCAGGTGATCCACCCGCCTTGGCCTTCCAAAGTGCTGGGATTGCAGGTGAGAGCCACTGTGCCCGACCGGGAGCTTCTTAGAAATGTAGATTTCTAGGCTCTGCTGTGAGAGATTGTGGTTCAGAAGGGCTGAGGTTTGGTCCAGGAGTTAAATAATATTAATCAGACTTTATGTAAAACTGCCTTTTTTGGTGTGTCTGTGGTGTAGAAAGTTTTTATTGTTTATCTCAGAGTAAAGTTGTTTGAGGAGCAATTAACATTCTAGAATACAGTTTTACAAAGAACAGTCTCTTCAACTAATGTGTGAGTTGTCATTTACATGTCTTTTGTACTTGCTGGATTGAGAGTGATTATGAATTTAGTATAGACATAGACTCTGAAATTTCTTTCTTGGATTTTATAATACCTCATGTGCTAGACATATTCATAGTACATGCTTAGATGAAAATGTGTTGCTTATTGGTAGTGTAATTTCACAAATCATAACACATTTTTTTGTCATTAACAAAAGGTATAACGAGTTCTAAGTGCCTGTGTAATCTGAAGACCTTTTGTGTCATTATTTTTTTTACTTGTTATAGAAAACTTCAGATACACACAAGAGAGAATGATATTTGGTTATCTATTGCTATGTAACAGCTATCTCAAAACCTCATCCTTAAAAATAATCATTTTATTATCTCCCACAGTTCTGTGGGTCAGGCATTCAGATTAGGCACAGTGAGGGTGGCTCTTGGTTCCACATGATGTACTCAGGCTGAAAGTCCCAAGAGGCATTTAGTATAGACATAGACACTGCAGTTTCTCTCTTGGATCTCGTAATACCTCATGTGCTAAGCATATTCATAGTATGTGCTTAAACGAAAATGTGGTCACCATTGTAACCAACTACCACATAGTGGTAATAAATTTCTGTTTACCCATCACTAGCTCTTAAAATTATTGACTCATGGCCAATCTTACTTCATCTAAACCATAATCTTTCTAGATTATTTTGAAGCAAATACCCTAGACAGCATATTATTTCATCTTTGTTTCATTAGGTCTCTAAGTAAATCTAGTCATTTTTCGCATTCCCCCAGTTATTTCATAAAGGCTTAATATCTAAAACCCCTGCTGCCCTTTTCACCTGAAACAATCACTGTTCTGATTTTTTTTTTTTTTTTTTTGAGGTGGAGTTTTGCTCTTGTTGCCCAGGCTGGAGTGCAATGGCGCGATCTCAGCTCATGACAACCTCTGCCTCACAGGTTCAAGTGATTCTTCTTTCTCAGACTCCTGAGTGGCTGGGATTAAAGGTGTCCGCCATTACGCCTGGCTAATTTTTGGTATTTTTAGTAGAGATGGGATTTTACCATATTGGCTAGGCTGATCTCGAACTCCTGACCTCAGGTGATCTGGCCGCCTCGGCATCCCAAAGTGCTGGGATTACAGGCGTGAGCCACCATGGCTGGCCTGATTTTTTTTTTTTTAACAGCATAGATTGGTTTTGCATATTCTAGAACTGCATATAAATGGAATCATACTGTATGTATACTTTTGTTGTTTCTGGTTTCTTTCACTCAGCATGTTTTTGAGTTTTATTCATGTTGTGTGTGTTAACTAGTACATTTGCTACTACCCATTTCTTTGCATTACTGAGTAATATTCTGTTGTATGAATGTAACAGTTTTTTTATCCATTCTCCCTTTGATGGACACCTGGGCCTTGCCCAGGTTTGGGCTATTGTGATTAAAGCTGCAATGAATATTCCTGTATAAAGCTTTCTATGCACATATGTTTTCATTGTTTTTTGGGCAGTGTGGCTCACTCCTGTAATCCCAGCACTTTGGGAGGCTGAGGTGGGTGGATAACCTGAGGTCAGGAGTTCGAGACCAGCCTGACCAATATGGTGAAACCCTATCTTAAAGAAAAGAAAAAAAGAAATGATTGACAAGGTTTCCAAAGCAGTTGTATCATTTTACACCTCTGTTGACAATATATGAGAGTTCTGATTGCTTCATGTGCTTGCCAACATTTGACATTGTCAGTTTCCTTCATTTTAGCTATTTTAGTCAGTGTAGTGTGGTATTATAAGTTTTTTTTTTTAACTTTTTGGAGTTTGTTTAATTCAGAAACAAGTAAGATTCATACATTCTAGTTTTCCAGTTGGTTGCCTCTTACATATTTTCTGTATGGGTTTTCCCTCCCTTTCTCTCATTTCTTTCTTTCTTTCTTTTTTTTTTTTTTTTTGGTCTTATTTTGGAATAATTTTTTGTATTTTTAAAATTTTATTTTCTTAAATATATAGAAAAATAGAGATGGAGTTTTCCAGTGTTGTCCAGGCTGGTCTGAAACTCTTGGACTCACAAGATCTGCCCACCTTAGCCTCCCAAAGTGCTAGATTATAGATGTGAGCCATCGTGCCCAGCCAGTTTTAGGTTTACTGACATTGCAAAAACTATAGATTTTACTCAGGTTTCTCTGGATTTTCCCAAATGTCCTTTACTGTTCTAGTATCCAGTTGGGGATCCCACATTGCATTTAGTCATAACGTTTTCTCCAATCTGTGACAGTTTCTTAGGTTTTCGTTGTTTGTGACCTTGACAGGTTGAAGTGTATTTTGTACAGTGTCTCTCAATTTTATCTTCATAGGTTTGATATTTTATCATGATTAAATTTGGATTATAGGTGTTTAGGTGGAAGATCACAGAGTTGAAGTGCCTTCTCATTTTATCGTATCAGATTAACACTGGTGATGTTAAAAAATGAGCAGCCAGACACAAGAGATGCATGATGCAGGGTGTGTGTGGAAAGGGGCACGGAGCTTTCCTGTCCTCTCTAGGTACACACCCTCCAGATGTTCAGCAGTTTGGAAGCTTTTCTCTCTCATTTCTTATTATTTGTTTGATTTGTAAAAACTGGATTGTTTGTGTTACAGATGTTAGTACAGTCTGGATTTTGTTGATTAATGTGTTCCTCTGTCTAGTGTGTTTCCTATAAATTAGTAGTTACATTTAATGACTACTTCAGATTCTTTTAGGATCATTATCTGGATCTGCTCATTCACCAAGGATTGCAAACATTAATCTTTTAATTCTATCACCCATTTTAATTTATGAGTTAGAAATTTCTTGTTGTTATGTGGTCCCTCTGAATGAAATTTGTACAGGAAAGGAAAGATAAATGGTGATTACTTCCCATTATTTACTATGTTTGAGAATATGCATTGGCTCCTTAGCATCCTCCACATATTTAAAATATTTGGTGTGTTTCAATCCTTTGTGATTATTATCCTTATCGATGCTCAAAATACTTCATTTTTAGGTAACAGGAGCCTCTGTAAGTTAACTTCTGAATCTTTTTGATATGACCTTTATAGTCTTTAAGAGCTTCTTTGCTGCTGGGCGCGGTGGGTCACGCCTGTAATCCCAGCACTTTGGGAGGCTGAGGGTGGATCCCCTGAGGTCAGGAGTTCAAGACCAGCCTGACCAACATGGAGAAACCCTGTCTCTACTAAAAATACAAAATTAGCTGGGCGTGGTGGTGCATACCTATAATCCCAGCTACTTGGGAGGCTGAGGCAGGAGAAACGCTTCAACCTGGGAGGCGGAGGTTGCAGCCCCATTGCTCTCCAGACTGGGCAACAAGTGCGAAACTTTGTCTCAAAAAAAAGAAGAGCTTTGCTTTTTCAATATGACAGAATGTTCTAGTCTGGTCTTGTACATTTCCTGACCCAGAACTGAAATTAGCTTTTTCTTTAACGAGTCCTGGTTCCTTTTAGTTGGAATAGTATTTAAAGACTACAAACTGGGTAGTAGAAGTGCTCATTGCTACTGGGTTGGTCATTTTTTCTAGACTTTTTCAATGAACAGTGTTAGGAAATTATGAGTGAGTTCATAATAAAAGTTTAAATTTAAATATAAGACTACAAGGGTTTTCTTTTTGCTTTTTTTTGAGACAGAGTTTCTTGCCCAGGCTGGAGTGTAGTGGTACAGTCTCGACTCACTGCAGACTCTACCTCCTGGGTTCAAGACATCCTTCTGCCTCAGCCTGCAAGTAGCTGGAACCACTGGCGCACACCACCATGCCAAGCTAATTTTTGTAGTTTATGTAGAGACAGGGTTTTGCCATGTTGCCCAGGCTGGTCTTGAACTCCTGAGCTCAAGCAGTCCACCCACCCAGGTCTCCCAAAGTGCTGGGACCACAGGTATGGGCCAGCACTCCCAGCTAATTTTTGTAGTTTTTGTAGAGATGGGGGTTTCACTCTGTTGCCCAGGCTGGTCTCAAACCTCTGAGCTCAAAGAAATCCACCACCTAGGGCTCCCAAAATGCTCTGATTACAGGCATGAGCTACCATGCCTGGCCAACTACAAGGTTTTTGTATAACCTCACAGATCTTACAGCTAGACTTTTTTTTTCTCCAAGTCAAAAATTACACTTGAATAACACTAATCAACGTAATTATTTATTTGATTTACCTCATAACATATACACATACAGTAATCTCAAAATAACTGTCAATACTAAAGAATGATTTAAGATTTGGCAATTTCTTTTGTTTTTGAGGTATATCCTACTTAGGGATATTTAGTAAAATTACAGTGTTTCAAAATCACTTGAAATAATTCCTTTCTGTGTGTTTATGCCTTCAAATTGATTTCCAAGTTTGTTACATTTTGTGTTTTATTCTTAAGATTTTGAAATTTATTTTTATTTTCATTTTTTGGGACAGAGTCTCGCTCTGTTGCCCATGCTGGAGGGCAGTGGTATAATCTTGGCTCACTGCAACCTCTGCCTTCTGGGGTGTAAGCAGTTCTCCTGCCTCAGCCTCCCAAGTAGCTGGAACTACAGGTATGTGCCACCACACCTGGCTAATTTTTGTATTTTTAGTAGAAATGGGGTTGGCCAGCCTCTTCTTGAATTCCAGACCTCAGGAGATCCACCTGCCTTGGCCTCCCAAAGTCCTGGGATTAGAGGCGCATGAGCCACTGAGCCCAGCCTAAAGTTTAATATTACACTATTTATGTTTTTAAAGTCAAATCTACAAGCAAGGAATAATCAGAAAAGTCTGGCTTCTATCCTTCTTCTTTCTACCCTGTTCTCTTTCTTCCTCCCCATAGGTAACCTTTTTAAAAAAAAAAAAAATGTGTACTTTATTCTTTTTTTTTTTTTTTTGAGACGGAGTTTTGCTCTTGTTACCCAGGCTGGAGTGCAATGGCATGATCTCAGCTCACCGCAATCTCCACCTCCTGGATTCAGGCAATTCTCCTGCCTTAGCCTCCTGAGTAGCTGGGATTACAGGCACGCGCCATCATGCCCAGCTAATTTTTTGTATTTTTAGTAGAGACGGGGTTTCACCATGTTGACCAAGATGGTCTTGATCTCTTGACCTCGTGATCCACCTGCCTCGGCCTCCCAAAGTGCTGGGATTACAGGCGTGAGCCACCGCGCCCGGCGGTTTAATCTTCTATTTAAAAAAATACATACCTATTTGTATTTTCCTCTTAGCTAAATGGGAACATACTAAAATACTTATCTCTACCTCTGTGTTAAGTTTAAAAATGTGTATATATATATATCTGCATGAATTGCATGGCATTTATAGGTGATATGGAGGCCCTTCTAGCTAATGGTGGAAATGGGTGGGAGAGGTGGACAACTAATAAGAATGTACTTTAGGTATCTCTCATCATTCAACCAAAAACTAGTATTACAGCTGAAGTTCCTAGATTCCTTTTTTAGTTTTTATTTTTGAGATGGAGTCTCGCGACGCCCAGGCTGAAGTGCAGTGGTAGAATCTTAGCTCACTGCACGCTCTGTTTCCCGGGTTCAAGTGATTCTGCCTCAGCCTCCAGAGTAGCTGGGACTACATGCTCGACTATGTTTTTTATTTTTAGTAGAGATGAGGTTTCACCATATTGGCCAGACTGGTCTCGAACTCCTGACCTCAAGTGAACTGCCTGTCTTGGCCTTCCAAAGTGCTGGGATTATAGGCATGAGCCACCATGCCTGGCCCCTAGATTCCATTTTTATCTCTGTTCTTAAGCAAAAACTTTTTTCTCCTTAGACCTCAGATTTTCCTGTCCTTGATCCCAGCTGGACTGCTCAAGAAGAAATGGCCCTTTTAGAAGCTGTGATGGACTGTGGCTTTGGAAATTGGTAAGAACTTCATGTTAAGAGTTGTCCTGCCCTAGTGGGCTCAGAAAAGCAGCTGTTGTTGAAGAGTAAAGGAAGGAACCTCAGGAAGAGAAAGTATATATTGCTTTCTTATCAACCCATGATTTAGAGACAAGTTTGTCCCCTTTTGTGCATTATTTTTCCAGTGCCAAAATGGTCACAAGAATATGGGATGTTTTTTTGTTTTTTATGTTTTTTTTTTGAGACAGTCTCACTGTCGCCAGGCACCAGGCTGGAGTGCAGTGGCACAGTCTCGGCTCACTGCAACCTTCGCCTCCCGGGTTCAAGCAATTCTCCTGCCTCAGCCTCCCGAGTAGCTAGGACTACAGGTGCATGCCACCACGCCCAGCTAATTTTTTGTATTTTTAGTAGAGATGGGGTTTCACCATGTTGGCCAGGATGGTCTCGATCTCTTGACCTCGTGATCCGCCCGCCTTGGCCTCCCAAAGCGCTGGGATTACAGGCTTGAACCACTGAGCCTGGCCTTATATGGGATGTTTAGTGGTCCGTAACTGAACCACTTTTGATGTATCAACAATGAAAAGATTGATTATTCCTTTCTGAATAGTAGGGAAGTTTAGTTTCGTTAGTTATTGCTCCCTTCTGATTTTATGCATTTTTGTTGGTTATAGATGCCCTAGTCATTTAAGTGAATTGGACTTTAGCTAGATGGTCATACCTAAGATTGAAGTTTCACAGACTTTCTGATAACATTCTGTGTTTTTAGCTTTCCTGCCTTAGTCCAAGACTGGCTGAATTGAACAGCACTCATCGCTTTTGCCTTAGGGGGCAGCACCACTTAATAATAATACCACCACTTTAGTTTTTACCTTTGGGAACACTTTGATATGGATGATTTTATTTTATGAACTAGATAGTAGAGGCATTATTGAATATATTTTGTCACATATTATCTGAAGTCTAGGGGGTTCAAATGATTTCTCATAATTGCATTGCTTATTATTGAAGGACTCTTAATTAGGTCCTCCCTGTCCTGACTTGGTAGTGTATATAATCTTTCTTGGTGTTCATCAGAATAAACTCTGCTGCCTCCCTGAAGTCCAAGGACCTGAAAAAGGAGACCTGAATTTAGTTCACATTTTGCTTGTATTCATTCATTCAGTATTTATTAAGCATCATAAAATATTGTGTACAATGAGGAATACCAAAGGAGGTAGAAAAGTAATCACTTGTGAGGAGCTTGCTAGTCATCTTTGGCCTAGTTTTTAAAGTTTTGCTTACCATCATCTCTAAAATACGCTAATCTTCTCTGTCTGTCCTCCTAACAAAGAATACAAAAAAAACATAGCTTCTCTACCCACTGTGGGTAAAGCACTAAATTTGGCAATGAGTGGGCTAGAGCTAAGAATTATGAGATGCATTCTGCCTTCAGGAAGCTTATAGTTTAGCAGGGGACTCAGAATATCTGTACAAGTGATTGAAGTACACAAAACAGAATACAGTGATGCCTTAGAGGAGGACAAGTGAAGTGCTGTGGAAAAGAGACCTTGAGGAGAGGACTTCCACCTCTACCTCTCCATTACCTTGGTTCAAGTCAGGGCTTTTTTTATTTTTTATTTTTTTTAATTATTAATTAAATTGAGACAGTCTCACTTTATCACCCAGGCTGAAATGCAGTGGTGCGATCACAGCTCACTGTAACTCTGAACTCCTGGGCTTAAGGGATCTTCTCCTCAGACTCCCAAGAAGTTGGAACAATAGGTGTGTGCCACCATTCTCAGCTAATTTTAAAATTTTATTATTATTTAAAGACAGAATCTTCCTCTATCCCTCAGGCTGGACTACAGGGCATGATCTCAACTCACTGCATCTTTGACCTTCTGGGCTCAAGTAATGCTCCCCACTCAGGCTTCCGAGTAGCTAGGACTACAGGCACGTGCAGCCATCCCCAGCTAATTTTTGTATTTTTTGTTGAGATAAGATTTTACCATGTTTCCCAGGCTGGTCTTGAACTCCTGGGTTCAAGCCTTCCTCTCATCTTGGCCTCCCAAAGTACTGGGATAACAGGTGTGCACCACTGTGCCTGACCAGATTCTTAAGCAAGTTTATTAATTCTCTTGAACCTAATTTTTTCTTATTTGAAATTGAGTTAATAACAATACCCATACCACAAATTTAATACCAGCTTTAACTTAAATTCTGTTGTGAATATTTTTAGCTCAGTGTCTGGCATCTCACAGCAGTAGTAAAGAAATGTTTACATGAGTGTTTTGTAAACCATAACATATTATGCAAAATAAAATTATATTTCTGTATATTTTGAATGTTCTGAAGTCACTTCTTATTATTTACAGCAATTATTTCTCTAGGGCCTAGCTCACAGGAGAATTTACAGGTTTTCCTGTCATCTTTCTTTAAGTGGAAAGGAAAGGACTTCTTAGTCATTATTTCTGTGTCTCAGACTAGCAAGATTTGGAACATCAGATTACACCAATCTAGTCTTATATTTGTCTCATTATTCTGCTGATAGTTTCATGATACCAGTTTAGAAATAGCAGAGTGCAGTCATTATATGGATATGTCTTAAAATATTGAAAGAGCAAATGATGCTTTTACTATTACGTATAAATGAGAGTACTACTTTCTTGTCTCTTTTTCCTAACAATCCTCTAGGCAGGATGTAGCCAATCAAATGTGCACCAAGACCAAGGAGGAGTGTGAGAAGCACTATATGAAGCATTTCATCAATAACCCTCTGTTTGCGTCTACCCTGCTGAACCTGAAACAAGCAGAGGAAGCAAAAACTGCTGACACAGCCATTCCATTTCACTGTAAGTGCCTCCCTGTCTTGATAAGAGACACTTAGCTCATCCTGGGGCCTTGTTTCAGTAGCAGATAAACAGTGATTTGATGACTTGGACAATTAATGATATCATGGAAGATAGGAGGAGTTAGTATGGCAACTGTTAAGCATTAGGATTGGCCTGGCGCAGTGGCACATGCCTGTAATCCCAGCACTTTAGGAGGCTAGGGCAGGCGGATCACTTGAGGTCAGGAGTTCAAGACCTGCCTGGCCTACATGACGAAACTATGTCTCTACTAAAAGTTAGCCGGGCATGGCAGCACACAACTGTAATCCTAGCTACTCAGGAGGCTGAGGCGGGAGAATCACTTGAAGTAGGGAGGCAGAGGTTGCAGTGAGCCAAGATCACGCCACTGCACTCCAGCCTGGGTGACAGAGTGAAACTCCATTTCAAAAAAAAAAAAAAAAAAAAGAATCAGGATGATAATGTGGCAAGGAAGGAACATATTCTAAGGGTCAAGAGTGCTATACAGGACATCAGGGTGCTTGAAGGCAATGTGTAGTTCCACGTACCACGAGTCCTTTGAACATATCAGTTAATGTCAGTGCTTTCTTTTGTAAAATAAGGTGTCAAAAAGGGAATACTGTTTCTGTGCTGCTGTGAGTACAAGTTGTTTTGTAATCCCTTTGAAGAGTTTATAATCATACATACGAGTTACTTAGAGAATACAGTATTTGACTCATTATTATTAATTGCCCCAGTGTCGCTCCCAAGAAGCAATTTGTTATTTATGTTCACTTGGTTGTGGCAGTCAGTGATGGCCAACTTTTTAATCTCGTGGGTCTCTTAATAAAATATAACCAAAAACACGATGAATTATAAATGACCATCTTTCCTGAATGACTCCCAGGGCACAAGTAATGAGATAAGAATGGTTTCCCAGCAGGCGCGGTGGCTCAAGCCTGTAATCCCAGCACTTTGGGAGGCCAAGGCGGGTGGATCACAAGGTCAAAAGATCGAGACCATCCTGGTCAACATGGTGAAACCCCGTCTCTACTAAAAATACAATAAATTAGCTGGGCATGGTGGCGCATGCCTGTAGTCCCAGCTACTTGGGAGGCTGAGGCAGGAGAATTGCTTGAACCCAGGAGGCAGAGGTTGTAGTGAGCCAAGATCGCGCCATTGCACTCCTGCCTGGGTAACAATAGCGAAACTCTGTCTCAAAAAAAAAAAAAAATGGTTTCCCTTCCCTTTTCTCTTTCCTCATACCCTCTAGAAACAGTTTTATAGTTGACTAACTTAAAGGCTGGTGATACCTCCCTTCTTTTTTTGAGAGGTTGCAGTGAGTGCAACCTCTACTCACTGCAGCCTCCACCTCCTGGGTTCAAGCAATTCTTGTGCCTCGGCCTCCCGAATAGCTGGTACCACAGGTGCATGCCATCACAGCTGGCTAATTTTTTGTGTTTTTAGTAGAGACGGGGTTCTGCCATGTTAACTAGGCTGGTCTCAAACTCCTGACCTCAGGTGATCTGCCCACCTCAGCCTCCCAAAGTGCTGGGATTACACGTATGAGCCACGCCCAGCTGATACCTCCTATTTGGATAGCACTTTGATGTTAGCATTTTGTTCTCAAATCCATTAGACCATTTGTTTCCCAACAGCAACCCAGTGAGATGGGCAGAGCAAGTGCTTTTGTTTTACACACTAGGAAACCAATTCAGAGAGGTTAGTTTGTGCAGGGTCATGGGACTAGTGTGTATTACAGCTGGGACTTAATTCGAACTAACTTCCAATTCCAGTGTTTGTTTTTTTATCCCTTTTGGGTTTTTTTTTTTTTTTTCTTTTTGCCTCTCAGTTGGATGAGTTTTATAAATTGAGATTAGTCCTAAGGGGGAAGGGAGCTGAAGCTAACAGGGTAAATATTTAGGTTCTGTAATATTAAAAGAAAAAAGCCATGGTTACCTTTCATTTTAGGTAAACAGAAATCAGAAGAAATTTATCTATATTTACTTAAAGGATTGCCTGAGTCTTAGTTTTTCTTTTTAAAAAATCTGTTCCCATAATACTTAATCTTTTTCGCATTTCCGTTTAGAAAAACCATTTTAAGTTTTATTTGTTATTGGACTATTTTTATGTTTTTTTTTTCATGCCAATATTGTATTAGTTAACTTAGAAAACTTCTAAATTCTTCCAGCTACAGATGACCCTCCCCGACCTACCTTTGACTCCTTGCTTTCTCGGGACATGGCCGGGTACATGCCAGCTCGAGCAGATTTCATTGAGGTAGGAGAAATGTGTTTTTAGCACAAAGTAGGAAAAACTTGTTTCTATTCCTCATGAGCCTTCCATCTCACCATAGATTCCATACAACTAAAAGGAGATTTTTTTCAAAGTACTGTAATTTATAGGGCCTTTAGACAGCCACATTTTCTTATGTGAGTGCCTTTTCTCATTTGTAAACATTTTCACATATGGAACAGTAAAAGTTCTTTAAACAAAAAACCTGTTTCTGGGCCGGCCATAGTGGCTAATGCCTGTAATCCCAGCACTTTGGGAGGCCAAGGAGGGCAGATCACGAGATCAAGAGATCGAGACCATCCTGGCCAACATGGTGAAACCCCGTCACTACTAAAAATACAAGAATTAGCTAGACATGGTAGTGCATGCCTGTAGTCCTAACTACTCGGGAGGCTGAGGCAGGAGAATCACTTGAACGCAGGAGGCGGAGCTTGCAGTAAGCCGAGATTGCAGCCACTGCAATCCAGCCAGGCAACAGAGTGAGACTCCATCTCAAAACAAAACAAAATTTTAAAAACCCTGTTTCTGTTGGGTATAGCACAGTGGCTCACACCTGTAATCCCAACACTTTGGGAGCTGAGAATGGAGGATTGTTTGAGTCCAGGAGTTCGAGACCAGTGTGGGCAACATAGTAAGACCCTGTCTCTACAAATAAAAAATTAGCTTGCCATGGTGGTGCATGCCTGTAGTCCCAACTACTTGGGAGGCTGAGATAGGAGGATCACTTGAACCTGGGAGGTTGAGGCTGCAGTGAGTGGTGATCATTCCACTAAACTGTACCCTAGGCAACAGAGCAAGACCCTGTCTCCAAAAAACAAACCAAAAAAACCTCCAAGAAAACCCATTTCTTTTTTGTTTTGTTTTGTTTTTTTTTTTTTTTTGGTAAAAACCCATTTCTTAAGTTGCATCAGTGCTGGCTTCCACTGTCTTAGATATGAAATTTATGTAGTCTGGTTCTTGTACACCTAGGAGCTTTCAAGATTGTACTGTATCAGGGGTTGGCAGACTTTTTTTTTATTAAAAGCCAGGTAGTAAATATTTTAGGTTTTGTATGCTATAAAGTTTCTGTTGTAACTATACTTTGTCATCATTGTGCTAAAGCAGCATGGGATAATCCAAGAAAAATGAGTCTGCCTGTGTTCCAGTAAAACTTTATGTACAAAAACAGGCAGTAGACCGGATAGTAGTTTACTGACTCCTGTCATATATCCACAGGTATATAAAGAATGATGAAATATAAAGAAGCCATGAAATTAAAAGCCATTGAATGTAGCCACATATCTCTTGATTTATCATCTAATTCACAACTTGAAAGATAGTTTGGCCAGGTGTGGTGGCTTACACCTGTAAATCCCAGCACTTTGTGAGGCTGAGGCAGGTGGACTGCTTGAGCTCAAGAGTTTGATACCAGCCTGGGCAACATGGCAAAATTCCATTTCTACCAAAAAAAAAAAAAACAAAAACCCAAAACCAAAAATTACCTGGGTATGGTGGCACATGCCTATAGGCCCAACTGCTTTGAGAGGCTAAGGCAAGAGGATCACTTGAGCCTGGGGGTTTGAGGCTGCAGTGAGCCAAGATCACAGCACTGCACTCCAGCCTGAGTGACAGAGTGAGACCTCGTCTCCAAAAAAAAAGTAGTCCAAGATCTTGAAGATAACTTGAAAGTTTAGCAAACTACAGGCAGTTTTGCTCATGACACCCAGGTCAGCATTTTGTTCGTGACCAGTAATAATGTAAGAACTGCCCTGTAGACTCTATACCCATGCATTATACTCATTGAATAGAATATGAAAAAATCTACCCATTGAACTGTATAAGTAATATTACTGAATAAACAGACCCCTCAAAAGATAAAAGGTAGATTATTAAATAGTTTTCTTACCTAAATACTTAAAAGTCTAATCAAGTTAAATATTCTGAGGAATGAACTGACTTTCTTTCTCTCAGAGACAGGATCTTGCTCTATTTTCTAGGCAGTCTTGAACTCCTGGTCTCGAGTAAACTTTCCACCTATACCTCCTGAATAGCTGGGATTAACAGGTGCATGCCACTGTGTCTGGCTCAGACTAATTTTAGTTTTTAGAGCAATATGTTTAGCTTTATTCCTAAACTCATAACTATTCCAATTTTTTCTTGTCACTACTGCTTGTAAGCCTCTTAGATTTTTTCCCATGACCTCCTATTACCTGTGTCAGTATTGTGGACTTTTACTCTATTTAGTTTTTTTTATTTTTTTGTGATGAAGTCTCACTCTGTCACCAAGCTGGAGTGAAGTGTTGCTGTTTTGGCTTACTGCAACCTCCGCCTCCCAGGTTCAAGGGATTATCCTGCCTTTGCCTCCTGAGTAGTTGGGATTACAGGTGTGTGCCAACATGACCGACTAATTTTTTGTAGTTTTAGTACAGTTGGGGTTTTACCATGTTGGTCAGGCTGGTCTCGAACTCCTGACCTTGCAGTCCTCCTGCTTCAGCCTCCCAAAGTGCTGGGATTATAGGCGTGAGCCACCGTGCTTGGCCTATTTAGTCTTTTTTAACAAGTGTTTGCTTATGTATTTTCTGTTTACTTCTAAAGCATGTCTACTATAAAGACATTAATCAAAGCTGATGGGTTTGGGGTGGGGATTTTTTTGTTCCTCCAAACAGGAATTTGACAATTATGCAGAATGGGACTTGAGAGACATTGATTTTGTTGAAGATGACTCGGACATTTTACATGGTAACAGTTTACTTTGTCAAATGTTTATTGAGCACCAACTATGTGATGACACTGTCTTGGGTACTAGGAATTGAAGGATGAATAAAACATATCCCCTGCCCTTACAGAATTAAAAATCTAGTGGTTAAGTTGCTGAAGTTACTCTGTTGTTGGATTTCGACCACAGTGAGTAAAATTTATGATGAGGGTAAAAATATTGAGCATATAATAGTAGTTGGAAACACCCATTGGTCTTTGTGATCGTTCTTTTATTTAAGTCTACACTAAGGTAATTGGTTAAATGGTCCTCACTTGCCTTCTTAGAAGGAGGGGAATCAGTTTGAATTCTTGGGACTTCAGTAGCAACTGCTAATATTAAATGTTCACTATATTTTATTACCCCAAATTTCCCATAGCAAGAAAAAGAACGGAAATTTCTCAAGAGTTTTTAGGCCCAAATGGGGGATTTCTTGTTTCTCAGGACTGTTGAATTTTCAACACTGCTGAATTCTTTTTTTTTTCTTTTTGAGATAGAGTCTCACTCTGTCATCCAGGCTGGAGTGCAGTGGTGCAGTCTTGGCTCATTGCAACCTCTGGCTCACTGCAACCTCTGGCTCACTGCAACCTCCGCCTCCCAGGTTCAAGAGATTCTCCTTCCTCAGCTTCTCTAGTAGCTGGGATTACAGGTGTCTGCTGCCATACTCAACAAATTTTTGTATTTTTATTAGAGATGGGTTTTTGCCATGTTGGCCAGGCTGGTCTCAAACTCCTAACCTCAAGTGATCTGCTCGCCTTGGCTTCCCAAAGTGCTGGGATTACAGGCGTGAGCCACCATGCCTGCCCTAATTACTGCTGAATTCTAATCTTTGTTTAGCCCTCTAAGGGTTTATGTTAACTCTTTTCCTAAAACTTAAGTGGTAAATGCCACAGGGCTGTTAAGAGTAGATGGTTAGACTTTAAGCCTCTTTTTTCCTTCCATTTTCAGTGAACTACATACTAATATATACTAATACTACATAATAATCCCCAATCCTTTTTTTTTAATTTCAGTTCAGAATTGAATATGCAGATCAGTAATCCTCTGTTGGAATCTGTATTTCCCCAACAACATCATTATTTCTGTTAAATTTACATCCCAGGAGGACATAAAGTAGAATGCTTGTTAAATTATAAATCAAGTTTTTGTGTTGCATGAACTGGTACACTGTCCCTAGAAGGGGAACTTGATTCTTTTCTGTCCGTAGAAGAGCTACCTGGATATTTGTTTTACCAGATCTGAGGTAAAGTAGTAGTCCTCATAAAAAATTTTACCTTAAGAAATTTTTCTCTACACATTTCTTGAGCAATGCTTTTTTTTTTCCCTGCAAAATTTTATTCTTCCTCTTCTCCCACACAGCTTTAAGGAAAGTCAGAGTGATGCAGATTGAACTAAAAGAGGAAAGCTTGAAAGCAAACTACTTTAGCATTCACTAAATCCATTGTATTTGTTCAGTCTTCCATGTCAGTCTCTTCTTTTCAATCCCAGTGACTCATGTTGTCTTTTCTAGCCTCTTGTGGTGTTTCCTTTGAAAGCAGTATGCAGACTGCCATTCAGTATTTCTCATACACACCAGCTTTAATTAAAATGGTACTGTTTTCTGGCTTGTGTCTTTCTTATAGAAAGCCAGACTACTCTATGCAAAAGGGGAAGCTTCATAAATATAATTCTTTTAGATACTGTTCAAAAACACGAAAATTTTGGCTGGGCATGGTGGCTCACACCTGTAATCCCAGCACTTTGGGAGGCCAAGGCTGGATGATCTCTTGAGGCAGGGAGTTCATGACCAGTCTGGACAACACAGTGAGACCCTGTCTCTAAAAAAAAAAAAAAAAGCCCTTAAAACAAATTTTTAAAATTTTGTTACTGTTTTTCCTCCTCCTCCTCCCTGGTTTTTATTTTTACTTATATATTTATTTTTTTAACAAATTTTTATTTTTATTTTGGTTATTTTTTTTTTTTTTACAAATTTTTAAAGTCAACATCTATAATGTTAATCATGGCTGAATCACTTCTCTGGAGCCTAATCCAGGTCTTCATTTATACTTCTCAACATTATTAAGAAAACTAGTGATGGTCGGTATTTAATTTTGTTCTTTGTGGGAGCAGGGCTTGCAGTTCCTTCTAGCGCACTTGGGGTCCTTTTTGTGATTAAGTGGGGATTTAAAAAAAACGAAGCAATTGATTGATTAGCAATTTATAGTTCAGTTAGCTTTTCAAACCCTTAACATACTTAAGGTATTTGTATTCTCCCTGAAGTTTCTATAGCCCTATAAATTATTTTCATTTGAACTGGAACTGAAACATTAATCTTTATACATAGTAGCTTTAACACAACATAAATAATAATTCTTTCCCCCCTTCTCCATGGTAACCTATAAGATGTTTAGATGAGTGTTTTTATTTTTTGTTTATTCTTTTTGAGACAGAGTCTCACTGTGTCACCCAGGCTGGAGCGCAGTAGCATGATCTCGTCTCATTGCAACCTCTGCCTCCCTGGCTCAAGTGATTCTCGTGCCTCAGCCTGTGGCATAGCTGGGATTACAGGCATGCACCACCATGCCCAGCTAATTTTTATATTTTTAGTAGAGGTGGGTTTTGCCATGTTTGCAAGGCTGGTCTCAAACTCCTGGCCTCAACTGATTTGCCCACCTCGGCCTCCCAAAGTGCTAGGATTACAAGTGTGAGCCACCATGTCTGGCCCTAAATCAATGCTTTTTAAAAGATGATAACACTTTAGATTTGGGTATAGTAGCTCACATGTGTAATCCTAACACTTTGGGAGGCCAAAGCAGGAGGATTTCTTGAGCCCAGGAATTCAAGATCAGCCTAGACAACAAAGTGAGACCCTCCCCCCCACCTCTAAACAATAAGAAAGATTATAACATTTTAAAGAAGCTTGTCAGCACTACAGATCAAAGGAATGACTTGCTCATGCCACAGAGAGGTACTTTGTTTACAGCTCTGAGTTCTTACAGTAGCTCCTGTGGCAGCATTACTATGTCCAAGGGCACATTGTCCCTGAGCTGTCTCTCCCAGAACACTCAGTAAAGTGCACTAGGAGCCCAAGGAAATTAGGGAAGGAATGAAAAAGAGCTTTATAAGCACACCTAGAACAGAGAGAGGGGCACAGATTTTGTGGAAATCAGGACACTGATTCAGCCTCAAGCTTGCTTCTGAGTCACTGGGTAATTGTGAGTAAGTCCTTGGAATCTTGCTTGCTATTTCTTTGCATCCTCTGCCATTAAAGAAGTGACACTAATTAGTCAGAGTGTAAATGTCTCTAATGAAAGATGGTACATAATTCAGATTGGTGTTATTACCATTCCATTATACCATTATGCTCTTAACATTGCTGAGCATTAACAACATTCTTTTTATGGTCCCTCCTTTAGAACTACTGGAAGGTTGCAGAATGTGTAGCTGGGTTTTATATTTAAAACCTATCCAGAATATCAGCTGATGACACCAAGACCTTTTCCTCACCCACACAAAGATTTTTGCCTTGAATCATGGAATTTGTTTAATAAATTTGGTTTGCATGGTTCATTAGAGAGTCCTGGGACACAATGGAGGGATAATTAATTGCATTGCAACCATACCAGAAGGCCTTCCGAATGTATTTCAGATGGATACTGCAAGTGAAGCAGTATCCATGGGAAAAAGGAAGTTCCATGATCCCTAATTGGTGTTTATTTATATTTTATTGTTATTTCAATTTTTGGTTCAGAAAGAGAGATACAGAAGAAGACTTCCATCTTAGAACTCTCTTGTTTTGTGTATATTGTGAGATCTCAATACACAAACGTAGTGTAGTTCCTTCTTGCTGCCATCTCTTTCCCTATCTCCTTTCACTTGTAAAAATCCTTCCTAAATGGCCAGGTGCAGTGGCTCATGCCTGTAATCCCAGCATTTTGGGAGGCCGAGGTGGGTGGATCACGAGGTCAGGAGTTCAAGACCAGCCTGACCAAGATGGTGAAACCCTGTTTCCACTAAAAATACAAAAAATTAGATGGGTCTGGTGATGGATGCTTGTAATCCTAGCTACTTGGAGGCTGAGGCAGAGAACTGCTTGAACCCAGGAAACGGAGGTTGCAGTGAGCCAAGATCGCACCACTGCACACCAGCCTGGGCAATAGAGCAAGAATCTGTCTCAAAAAAAAAAAAAAATCCTTCCTAAATTTTGGAGTACTCTTTCTCTGAGTTTCTCAAGATCCTAAAATTCTGGTTATAGTGTCTTCTAAGTCATTGTTGTTCCATAACCCAGGCAAGCAACAGATACGAGGAGCTCCTCCTATGTGCTGGGTCTGTGTTTTCAGTACTTCTCAGGGTTGCACATTAGTACAGTTTACAGTACAGTTTACTCTCCCTCTGTCTGGAAAGCTTATTTCAGCAAGTTTTCTCTCCTAGGTATGAATCGGTGAACCCCTTCACCTCCCGCTGTGTTTTTCAAATTGTATTTCTTTGGTGCATATTATTAGCCTTTAAATCCTTTAACAATTAGATCAGAAATCCAGCCTGGTCTGTGGCAGTTCCTTTCACTTGATAGTGATTTCCCTGTTTTATACATAGAATAGTTGAAACATGAATACTGTTAATAATAATTGCTAATATATATGGCATTCACTATTTGTCAGTTACCATTCTAAGCCCTTCATATATATTAAGTCATTTAATCCTCACAAAACCTTATGAGTATTACTGTTATTATCCTCATTTTACAGATGAGGACATTGAAGCGTGGAAAGGTCAGATAACTTGCCTGGAATCATACTGCTAGCAAGAGGTAGAGTCATCTCCAAGTCTGTGTTCTGAATATACTGTACAGTACTTAACTGTCTTTACAACCTTGATTTTTTTTTTTTTTTTTTGGTGAGACGGGGTCTTGCTCTGTTGCCTAGGCTGGATTGCAGTGGCACAATTATGGCTCACTGCAGCCTCAGCCTTTTGGCCTCAAACTATCTTTCCACCTCCACCTCCTGAG